TGTATCAGCAGTTAAGAAGGTAGAATTCATTAGTGATAGGATATCATATATAATACTAAAAGGTCACTGGTGTGATATCACTGTTTTGAATGTTCACTCCCAAACAGAAGATAAAATTGATGACATAAAGGATAGAGTCTATGAAGAACTAGAACATGTATTTGATGAATTCCCGAAGTACCCTATGAAAATTTTGTTAGGAGATTTCAGTGCCAAGGTAGGGAGGGAAGACATTTTCAAACCAACAATTCGGAATGAGAGTTTGCATGAAATTAGTAATGATAACGGAGTTAGAGTAGTAAACTTTGCCACATCAAAAAATCTTACTGTTAAGTACAATGTTCCCACATCGTAACATCCATAAATTTACTTGGACATCTCCTGATGGGAAGATACACAATCAAATAGCCCATATCTTGATAGATAGGAGACGGCACTCAAGTATACCTGATGTCTGATTATTCAGGGCAGCAGATTGTGATACTGACAACTACCTGGTGGTGGCGAAGGTCAGGGAAAGACTGGCAGTGAGCAAAAAAACAACACACAGAGTTCATACGGAGAGGTTCAATCTCAAGAAATTAAATGAGGTAGAGGGTAAAGAGCAGTATTGTGTTGAGATCTCAAATAGGTTTGCGACTTTGTAAAACTTGGGTACTGAGGTGGATGGTAATAAAACTTAGGAAACTATTAGAGAGAATATAAAAATGTCTGCCAAAGAGAGTCTAGGTAATTATGAACCGAAGAAGCATAAGCCATGGTTCGATGAAGGATGCTCAAAATTATTAGATCAAAGAAAGCAGGCCAAATTGCAGTGGTTACAGGATCCAAGTGATTTAAATGTGGATAACCTGAACAAAATAAGACGTGAAACCAGCAGGCATTTCAAGAACAAAAAGAGGGAATATCTGAAAGACAAAATTGACAAGCTTGCAATTAACAGTAAGAACAAGAATATTAGAGACCTGTATAGAGGAATAAATGACTTTAAGAGGGGTTACCAACCTAGCAGTAACATAGTGAAGGATGAGAATGGTGATATGCTTGCAGATTCCCACATTTTGAATAGGTGGAGGAACTACTTCCCTCAGTTATTGAATGTACATAGGGTCAGTGATGTTAGGCAGACAGAAATCGATACAGCTGATCCTGAGCTAGATCAATCCAATTCATACCAGCCCATCTTATCTCTCTAAGATCCATTTTAATATTGTCCACCCACCTACGCCTTGGTCTTCCCAGTGGTCTCTTTCCTTCTGGCTTTCCCACCAATATCCTACACGCATTCCTCGTCTCCCCCATTTGTGCTACATGACCTGCCCACCTCATCCTCCTTGACTTCATCATTCTAATTATACTTTGAGAAGAGTACAAGTTATGAAGCTCCTCATTATGCAGTTTTCTCCAACCTCCTGTCACTTCATCCCTAATCAGTCCAAATAATCTCAACACCCTGTTCTCAAACACGCTCAATCTATATTCCTCCTTTAATGTCAGAGATCAAGTTTCACACCCATACAGAACCACAGGCAAAATTATAATTTTGTATATTCTAATTTTTATGTTTTTGGACAGCAGACAAGAACACAAAAGTTTCTGGACTGAATGGTAGCAATCATTACCCCTGTTCAATGTCCTCTTAATTTCCTCCTGAATCAGGTTTTGATTTGTTATCGTCGTTCCTCTAGTTATTATCCCCAGAACCCAGTTCTCAAACTTACCCATTACAACAACGATCATAACAGCTCCAGCAACACCAAAGAGCGCGGAAGAACAGTGAGACCTCACAAACAAGTGAAAGTGTAACTAATAAAATAAGTTGAACTTTAATCCACGAACTTTTTAACAATAATAATAATTAACTAGTTTAAAAGAACTAGATACAGTAGTGACCATAGCAAAAAAATGAAACTGAAAAACAAGTGAAAGTGTAACCATTGACATGAATTGAACTTCGATTCACGACCTTTTAACTTTTAACATTTAAATTATAATAATAATAATAATAATAATAATTTTAACCTGTGTTTTATAAAAAGAACTTGATATATTAGTGAGCGTAATTCTGGAAAAGATACAAGGTCGAATGAGGAAAAAGTGAATTTGACCGCGTGTAATTATACAGCCGTGTTCATACACCTGAAGATGACCTCTTGAGGTCGAAACATGTAGTGATATGTGATAATAAAAACGTGTTGTGTAGTCGGTAAATTCACTCTACTATTGAACATGCTTTATTATTGACAAACCAAATATGCCACCTCAATCTACAGACCTTTCTTTATTTTTCCACATAATCGCCACTTCTTTGTACACATTTCTCCCAGCGTTCTAGGAGTTTGAAAATTCCCCTTCTGCAAAATTCCATTTCAGCCGTCCGAAGACACTGACGCACTGCTTTCTGAATGGCCTCCCTTGTCTCAAAACGTTGTCCACGCAGCTGATCTTCACAAATCCGAAAAGATGGTAGTCAGAGGGTGCCAGGTCAGTGCTATAGGAGGGGTGTGGTAGAACTTCCCACGCCATCTTTGCACTTGCTTCCAATGTGAGGCGAGCGGCGTGGGGGCGAGGGTTGTCATGCAGGATGATGATGTTTCGTCCCGGACGGTTATCGCGCAATGCACGATGGAGCTTGTTCAGCATCTGGACAAAACGAGCAGCATTGATGGTTTGCCCAGGTTCCAGGAATTCGGCCAGAATAAACCCCTCTGCATCCCAGAAGACTGTGCCCATCACCTTTGCAGCTGATGGCACTGTCTTTGCCATCTTTTTTGATAGAGAATGCAAATGGTGCCATTCCATATTCTGCCATTTCGTTTCAAGCTCAAAATAGTGAAACCAGCTTTCCTCACCTGTCACAATACAGAGCAAAAAATCATCGCCTTCGTGTCGATATCTCTGCAGCAGTTCTGAGGTGATAGCTTTTTGCTGACCTTTCTGGTCTTTGGTCAATAACCACGGGACCCAACGAGCACAAACTTTCCTATAACTCAAGCTTTCAATCATCTCCTGTACTGAACTGTGCCCTATTCCAAGTTTTCAGGCTGTTGTGTCCACAGTCACACACACCTGTCATCTTGAATGATCTCATCCACTCTTTCCTTGTTGCATTCAGTTGAGGCTGTTCAAGGACGACCGCTCCAAGGCTCATCTTCGATGCTGATGTTCCCATCTTTAAAATGTTTCACCCCTCTTCGAACACTGCTTGCACCCATGCACACACTTTCATAAGCACACTGAAGTCTCTGGTGAATTTCTGCAACAAGGATTTCCTCTTTCACAAGAAATTCGATGACAGCACGCTGGCGAAACGACATATGGTTGTTGGCCATTTTGTTAGGAGTGACACTTGTCACGTGATGCAAGCTATTGACTTCACAAGACACTCAAGGTTAACACAGCAGCTGGTTCCACCTACCACCATACTCTCTTTCGTCTGCTGTTCCCAGGTTGCATGCAAAAAAAAGTTGCTCATGTCTTTCTGTATGACCCAAGTACTTCCTAGGTAGGTAGTAAGTTTTACTTATTAGTGTTTACATATTCTATTATCTAATTTGTTATTATGGGTATATCCCCTCAGTCATTGCATTATTTTGGCTATACTACTGTGTTCAGCATTGATCTTATGAACACAAATATATAGATATCAGATTTTCAAAGTTCATTATATTCCTTCAGTTATTTTATTATGTTGGCCATACTATTGTGTTCAGCATTGAACTTGTGAACATTTATATATTTAAAATTTTCAAGGTTCATTATATTGCTTCAGATTTTATTATGCTGGCCATATTATTGCATTCAACATTGAATTTGTGAACGTGTATATTTTTAAGACTTTCAATGTTCATTATATTGCTTCAGTAATTTCATTATGTTGGTCATATTATTGTGTTCAGCACTGAACTTATGAACATATATATATATATCAGACTTTCAAGGTTCATTATATTTGTTAATTTAATTTATTATTTTGGCCACATTATTATGTTTAGTATTGAATTTGGAAACATGGGCATGTTTCAGAACATGATGTTTGTCAGAGTTCTGCAGTTATTTTATTGCTTTTCATATATTAATAAATTCAATCTTGATCTTGTTAACAGTAGTGTATATCAGATTTTCGAGTTTCATTATACTACTGAAATTAATAACAAATGGAAACCTCAGTATTATTACTCCCTATACATGATTTATAACACATTAATGTAACTGAAAAGCTATGTTCTGTGTAGCTTTCAAGCGTAAGTTGTAAGCAAAGTTACGAAGTTGAATACAAGTATCTGATGGAAACAGAATTTTCTTTCAAGTTTACCCACCATCAGCTTTCCTAAACACAAGCATTCTATATATGTTATAGTTCAAATATCCATTGCATTTCAGTAAGTGGGTGTTGAATTGATGTAAATGAAATGTTCTTATTTTGCAGGCACTGGTGAGAAACTTTCTCCTTATACTCGTAAATAATGTTGCAACCTGATATCTTGTACTGCAGAGGTTCTTTCTCTGTTGTGTGTTTTCTGTTTTCGAACTGAGTTTAATATCATTCAACTCATGCCCCTCCAGATGGTTTTGAGCGAAGTGATATTAAACTCAGTTCAAAAACAAAATACACAGTGGAGTAAGAACCTCTGCAGTACAAGAGGCCAGGGTTGCAACATTATTTATCTGGAGAAAGTTTCCCACCAGTGCCTGTAAAATATGAACATTTCATTTACATCAATTATTATTTCTAGCAATTCGTGTGTCCCAGTGATTCTTTGCGAAGGAGGAGTACACAAAGGCGGGTGGTATAATAGCATACTTTCTTACCGACAGGGCAGGTGGTATGATAGCAGACCCTCTTGCCGATCGAGCTCTCGGCACTGGGTGAAGCCATTTTGTGTCAATAGTGTCCGCTGGATACTGCGGCAGCAGTGATGCTTCAAGACGTCACGGTGGCTCTGTAGCCCACCAATAGCATTGAGCGGCATTGTGTTACCAACCCCCTGCTCTCTGCGCTCTCTACTCATATAGAGTAGGGCGAGTAGGGCTTGTTTGTGTGAGGTTGTGTCTCCTCAAACATAGGTTACACAACCCACGTCAATTCCGTGACATAACTTAAAAAAACCAAAAAAATTATAAAACTAGTAAAAATCCCAGAAAAAAAATCGAAAAATCTGTGAAAATTAACGTGAAACAAGTTGACTTAAGTGCGTGTGGTCTTGAACCTACAACGTGGGCATTCTGGAAGGACTGAAGCTAGCCATTTTCTTGGAAGAAAGGTTTCGCAGATTGAAAGTGTGTTGTATTGTAATATTAGCTTCTGTGGTAAAATATATATAACTTCACCCAAAAATGAATCCAGGTGGCCCCAATTACCCTATGGCCTCTTTGTATGTTGGCGATTTGCACCATGATGTCACGGAGGCCATGCTGTTTGAAAAATTTTCAACGGCAGGGCCTGTACTTTCAATTCGGGTTTGTAGGGACATGATTACCCGCAGATCCCTGGGATATGCGTACGTCAACTTTCAGCAACCAGCAGATGGTAATTAACATAACTTTTTTCAGTAAATTTAATTCTTATAGATATTTTAGCCATATTTCAAACGACGTCCCAAGTGCAACAATTTATTGTGGTTCTTTTGTCTTGCCCTCTTCTACACTACACTACGACTACTACTACATTTCAAACATTGGATTGGACTGCCTGTGCATTTCTATGACATTGCTTTTAAGGTTTTGTGGAAGGTATACCTGTTTGTTCATTTTAGCCGAGCGAGCTCTGGACACCATGAATTTTGACATGATAAAAGGGCGCCCTATTCGCATCATGTGGTCACAGCGTGATCCATCGCTTCGCAAATCCGGTGTTGGTAACGTTTTCATAAAAAACTTGGATAAAAGTATTGATAATAAGGCCATGTACGACACGTTCTCAGCATTTGGAAACATCTTGAGTTGTAAGGTATGTTATACACAATTTCCTGTAGTTCTCTGTATATTCAGACTTCTTGAGTTTGATAAACTGTGTATATGTGAATGTTTAGAGTGTTTGCAGTTCTCAATGCCAACAGGCGTGTAGATTGAGGTGGGTAGCTTCAGAGAGCATTTTGTAACAGAGAAAATATACGTTTAGGTTCCTACAGAGTGAAAGAAGGGCCATGTTATTTGTTGAAGCCAAGGCTTTGTTGTGATCTGTAATGGAAGAATGCAGGATGCTGTAGAATGAAAATCTGAGGTTTTACAGATTGAAGCAAAAGTACCAAAGTGTTATTTTATTGTTAAAACTTGTGCATTGTTACAAGCTTGCTGTTGATGTAAATGACTTTAGGATACTATGGCCATAATACTGAAATTTCAATAGAAAATTTACACACTTCCCATCTCTAGTAAGTCTTCATGGATGAAATTGTAATTGTTTCACTCTTAACACATTATAGCCCTTGAGGGGCACTTCAAAATCATGATTTTACTTGTCCATGTAAGTAGAATGAAGCTAAAAAAAGTACTCACAATTGACCGTTGTTAACTCACATTTGATGAGCAAGCATGTTTTTGGAGCTCTGTAGCAAAATATCAGAACATAATTGTTCTGATGCACAGAAAACTGGTGAGAACAAAAGCAAGGAGGAGCAGTGCTCTGCATCTGTAATCAAGGAAACAGAAATTTGGCCAGAAACAAAGGCTCAATCCTGGGATAGCTTTATTGCTTCAGTAAATTAACCATAAGTTCCACAGGCTCTTGTCCACCTGGTATGTTATTTGCCCTAATTACAAGCTCTTCTGTTGTGTTCCTTTTTGCAAAGGGCGCATAATGTAGTTGGTTGATGCACTATGCTACAACTGCAAGGTCGTGGGTTCGAGTTCCAATGAGGTTTTTTTTTTCAATTGACGTAATCGTTCCAGCTGCATGTGGCCCTGCGGTTGACTCAACCTCTAACAGATATGAGTACCAGAAATCTTTCTGGGGAGTAAAGCGCGGCCAACATGTAAGGCTGACAACCTTACTGCCATCTATGAGCCGATTGTCTGGAAAATGTGGGAGCCTCGACATCTCACAACCCTATGGGCCTCCACGGCCTGTTACTGGGATAGCTTTACCATTTTATCATTTTTACCAATATTGTGGACACTCTTGACTGATGCTTGTAGCGTGGTCATGCTACCAGATCCTGGTTGTAAGTGGGGGAACATGTCTGTATACACCTTCTGCTAGTTCAGAGCATTTCATTTTGAGGATGTTATTTGCTGTTCTTTAAGATGTCATAACTATCATTCCCCCTGAGATATATACGTGGTGCAATCCAAAAGTTCCCGAAATATATTAATAAAAACTATTACATCTTATGTAGGTCTTATTCTGCACCATCACCTTCAAAGTAGTCCCCTTGGGAGCGCATACACCGATCCCAGCTTTTCTGCCACTTTTGAAATGCATCCTGGAAGTCTTTCTTTGTTGGGGTGTTTAGTACCATCTGCGTTTCCGCTTGAATTTCCTCAACTGTATCAAATCTTCGCCCCTTCAACTTGTTTTTCATCTTGGGGAAGAGAAATAAGTCGCATGGAGCTAAGTCTGGCGAGTACAGTGGGTGGGGAACAACTGCCATATTGTTTTTAGCCAAACATTCCTGCACAATGTAAGCCATATGCGGTCGTGCGTTGTCATGGTGGAGTACCCAGTCAATCGTGCGCCGCTTCTCTGGACGTTTTCTCCTCATGTTCTCCCTCAAATGCCTTAGAACATTGCAATAGAACTCTTTATTGACTGTCTGACAAGGAGGGACAAACTCCTTATGAACAATCCCATCAATATCAAAAAAACAGATCAACATGGACTTAATGTTGCTCTTGACTTGTCGAGCTTTTTTTGGCTGAGGTGAAGAAGGGCTCTTCCATTGCGACGATTGCTGCTTGCTTTCAAGGTTGTAGCCATAAACCCAACTTTCGTCACCAGTGACAACCTTCGAAAGAAAGTTTGGATCCTCTTGAAGCTGTTGCTGAAGTTCCCTGCAGACTTCCAAGCAATGCTGCTTCTGTTCATTTTGCAGCAATCGTGGCACAAACTTCGCCGCAATCCTCCTCATGTTCAGTTCCTCTGACAAAATTCGTTAACATGTACCATAACTTAGTCCCAAGGTGTTACAGAGGTCTTGGATGGTCAGTCTACGATCTTGCAGAATCAGATCCCTAACTTTTGCGACATTTTCTGGTGTTTTGCCCATTGACGGCCGTCCCGAACGATCATCATCATCAGTCAATGTTCGGCCATTTTTAAAACGCTTATACCAGTTGTAAGTTTGTGTCTGGCCTAAACTGTTTTCACCAAAAGCTTGCTTCAACATTTGTTGTGTTTCTGCAGTGGTTTTCCCAAGTTTGAAACAAAACTTTATACAGACACGCTGGTCTCTCAGGTCAGCCATCGCAAAACCGCAAACTCACGGAAAAACAACAATGGAAATACCTTCACCAACAATAAACCCAACCACTCAACTCGACGCCGCTTGCCCCACTGATTCAAGAAGGATGTGTGAGGAGACATATAGCGGTATTTCGATGTACTCATAACCATTCACGCGCAAAATTCAAATTTCAGAAACTTTTGGATTGCCCCACGTATGTATGAATGAATTCCTGAACCTGCTTTGTCCCTTCGCCAAATAATTTTCTGTCTTGGTACTCTAAAGGTTATGTGATCAACAACATTAACATGGCTGCCAAGTTAGGAGAAACAGTAGTGTCATGGGACACAATCTGGAGTTCTTTTATGGCACTAGATTCATGAAACTTATTAGGTGTAGAAAACATGGAGAATAACAATATGGCATCTTCAGTAAAGCATTTTGGCATGAGGATGGTAACTGATGAGTCATATTGACTTGGACGCAGAATTTTTTTTTTTGTGCTATGAGGACATCTAAGATATGGTCAACAGAGCTAAAAGTGATGGTAGATGTGTGAACTGTGGTTGGAGAATTCATTTCCATTCACTTTGGAGGGGAAGTCTTTTCTTCTTGTAATTCACGTACCAGCCTTACGTTAACGATCACCTTCCTGTTACACTGATGTGACTTAATAATGAAGACAGTGTGAATTGTGCCCCACATGGCACATTGGCCCATGGTTTTCTAATAACCACGACCTGAACGACATCAAACTTTTAGTTTAATTGTGAATACTACTATTAAAAATAAACTTAGAACTAAACATATAATTTGACGAGTTATTTAACTTAGAGAGTTATTTAAACATTTTTCGTAATTTTTGTACCAGTTTTAAGACACATTGTGTTAATAAATTTCTTAATACTAAAATTCCTAGTATATAATAGACTTTAATTATTTTTAATTTTGAGCAACAACAGTGCATCAGTAGGATTTTGCATATGTCTTACATTCTCCAAAAAGGTGTATTTGCTATAACAACAGAGTGTAAAATATAGATCCATGTTAACATAATCCAATTTCAGAACTTAGTTTCTCTTGTAACTCGCCTGATGATGACCTAGAAAAGGTATAAACATTTAGTGTACACTAAATACAAGGTGGTTCAAATATGGCCGGGACTGATTATTTTTTTTAACTATAATTGCCAAACACTTACTTGCACATGTCAGTCTTCAACATACTCCCCTCCAGAGTCAACACATTTTTTCCAACGCACTGGAAGCACCCTGATGCCCTTTTAAAAAATGGCTTGTGGCGTCGTCCACAAACTGCATGCCTTGCAAGTCTGATTTGAGCCTCCCGAACAGGTAGAAATCACTTGGGGCCAAATTGGGACTGTACGGCGGATGTGTCAGATGATTCCATTTCAATTTCCAGAGGGTTTCCATCGTTTTGGCCATATAGGGGTGTGCATTGTCTTGAAGGAAGGCTACCTGCTTTCCACCCGCTTTCCGCTTGGATCAGATCTTTTCCTTCACATCTGTTGCCAGGAGGTCTGAGTAATAAGCTGCATTGACTGTTCTGGCATCTGTCAGAAAGTCTATATGGATAACTCCCTGCCAGTCCCAGAAGAACATTGTCATCACTTTCCTTGCCAAACGGCTCCTCCACACTTTCTTGTGATTAGGAGAACTGGTATGCCGCCACTCGCGTGATGACTGCTGGGACTCGGGAATGAAGTAGTGCACCCACATTTCATTGGTGATCACTATAGACTTCAAACTGCTGTAGGAGACGACTGGCAGCTTGCATGCACACCATTTTGTTCACGTCTGTCAAAGTGCGTGGTACCCACCATACATTCACCTTGCGATAGTGCAGGTGGTATTTCACGATGTCTTCTACACTACCAACACTGATGGACAGCATTGCTCCAAGTTCCTTGATAGTGATGCGCCTATTCTCACGAATAAGTGCGTCTGCATGATCAATGTTTGGCTCAGTGATGGATGTTCACGGCCGACGATCATGCAGTTCATTCTCCACGCGCTCTTTGCCCTCTCTGAAGCACTTACACCACTCAGACACATGGGTCCATGAGAGACACTTTTTCCCATACTGTTGTTGGAGTCTGTGGTGAATTTCAGCGGACGGGACGTTTTCTCCAAGGAGGAATTTGATCACAATGCGTTGTTCCACACTCCGCGGTACCTTCTGTTCGCTCATCACTCTAGCAACTCCCAGACAGGACTGAACAGGTTATAACCCAAACAGGAGGGAGGGTGGAGGTTGTGGCTTCACTCTCTCAAGGTTACACAGCTGCTGCGCAGGGCTTGTTTACACACAAATCAGTCCCGGTCATATTTGAACCACCTTGTAAACAATAGTGATACAGTAGTATCTATTTTGTCTTCATCTTGAAGATGCTTTTATGTCGTGTTGACTGCCCAGTTTATGCTGTTATGATATACAGGGCTGTTATAAATGGTTTGGGTGCTAAGAAATTAGTGTATTCTCATACTTGTTGCAGATGCAAAACATGAATTAACTTGAAAACGGCATAGAGACTCGTCCAGTTTCTGTTGACAACTTTGACTGTAATGTATCGGCTACTAATGACACCGTGATCGCTGTATACGGAAAGTGGCATCTCAAATGGAAACAGCACAATGTTGCTTGTGATATGATGATCTAGGCCCATTTCTCTGCCCCCTACATCCATTTGACCTTATTCATGAGACTTCCATCTGTGGGGACATGTGGCAGAGCAGTTGAACCCTAGTCTGATACTGCAGTCTCTTTGAGAGCTTCATTATCAGATAACTCCAGATAAACTTCATGAGCTCCCTGATGTTGCCATGTTTCATGTTTGTATCTATAAGCATTCTGAAGCCACTGATCTCTTGTCACTCAAATCAATTATAATAGCATCGCATTAACAGGCAGAGAAGATATTGTGCAATACTGAGCATAATGATAAAGATGCAGTGTAAGTACAGCCTGCTGGCATAGGTTGCCATGCGAATCCTGTCACAGCCTTACACTAGAGATTGTTTGAGCTGAGGAAATGGGATGCAGTGTCCTGACTACATACATTGGGTTCGGTTCCTTTTGTTATGCAGTGCTACTGATGTTGAGAGGATTTGAAAATCTGTGACTGTGATTATGGAGATATGTATTTAAAGATTGGTGGTCCACACTTGAACAGTTTTGTACACCAGTTTATAGTAACTTGGTGAAAAGTAACTAGTTTCTTCATGCATTAATTTCTTTAACAGAATTGTCACATGTTAGTGAATTAGACATGGGGTTGGTCCCTGTTATGTAGCTGTAACATGGACCACTTACAAAACATTTTCCTAGCAATTCCCCAAGAGTTTCTCTATTGTTGCATGTGTATTCATTGCAACACACAGGTTTTTACTGTGCAGTTGCCTGGCAGTGACTGTTCTCTTCTGGCTCCACTATTCTGGCCATCAGCCCTCGTGTCACTATATGAAGAAGTCAGTCAAGGCTATGGCAGCTGTTGGAAAATTGTCTTTGATAAACTGAATGGTTTTTACACTAAATTTTACACTATGTCCCACATATTTTTTTTTTTTGTGGTTTTCCACAGTCCCACCAGGGAAGTGCTTGGATATTACCTTGATTAGACCACAGCAGTGTCCTTCAGAATCCCTTCCATTTCACCCCTCACTCTTCCATTCAGTACTGTATAGTTTGGATACAGCTGTCTCGTAAAAAATCCACAAATTAAATTACCAGAATGCCACATACATTGCCTTCCCCATTGTAATTTCACAGCACAACTTGGATTTTTGACTTTTATCCAAAAGGTGCTTGGTTGGAATGTTGCTCAGGGCACCAAGTGGCCTCACTGATCTTTTTTTTTTTTTTTTTTTTTTTNTCTCAGGCCCATCAAGCAGACTACTAATGATTTCTACCCTGTTTATAGTATAATTAATAAACTTCCATATTTTATGGCCATCATTCAACATTTCAGAATCTTGAATTTAATTGTCTGTTATAAGCATGGTAAAATGATGCCGATAGCTTTATCGGTTTTGATTATTTCTTTTCATTAGGTAGCTCAAGATGAAACCGGAGCATCAAAAGGATACGGATTCGTCCACTTTGAGACAGAAGAAGCTGCCACGAAATCCATCGAGAAAGTTAATGGAATGCTGTTAAATGGAAAGAAAGTATTTGTCGGCAAGTTTGTTCCACGCAAGGAGCGTGAGAAGGAGCTAGGAGAGAAGGCTAAGCTCTTCACAAATGTCTACATTAAAAACTTTGGTGAGGACTTCAATGACGAACTGTTGCGAGAGATGTTTGAGAAATATGGCCAGATCACTAGCCACAAGGTAATAAAACTGGTGTTCATTAATCTGCTCATATCTCTGTCCACTTCATGGTAGCCTGCCCTAGGAAATGTTATTGTGATGTCAGTATTCCTAAACACTAGGTGTCACCTGTAGATTTTCAATAACTTATCAGGCCACACGGCCTTTGCCTGGGCCTTTTTTGTATTAATTATTTTTAACAAAAATTGTTTCGATTTTGTACATAAAGGTGACCGGCAATTAAAGTGCAAGTTTCAGTCAAAAATACTGCTGCAGGAAACCTGCGCATTTTTGAACGTGGACACATTGAAAGGAGGACAAGTGAGAAACAGAAGGTAGCAGAACAACTCCAAATACTCCTTCACATTTTGCATAAAGTACATGAGAATATGTGGCTCTGCTTATGGGTGTGTATGGGTTAATTTCATATATTTAAGGATACTTCATCTCGGCCCATGGGGAAATGAAGCTATTGTATGGTGAATGGGAGAGCCACTTATATGAATATGCTGGTTGGAGGAGAAAAACTTAGGGAAACACAGTTTTGCATGATCTTTACCCTTTCCATTGTCATTATGTTGCCTGAAGTCTGTATGGCTCTATGTGTATATCTCCTGTTGTTGCTAGCAAAGGCTTGGTAAAGTGTATCTCCTTTCGTTGCCAGGTAACAACTCCGCAAAGACATTCCAGTGGCAACTGGAGTAGAAGTTTTCTATGTGGTGTGTGTCATATGAAAGATACTGTTGCATTGTAGGCAGTAGAAGAATAGAAGTGGAAGAAAGAGAGAGTCCGTGATATTACAGAAAAAAGCAATCTGAAATTTGTTAGTAAGTTTTACGTATTCAAGGATGACACCAGACAACAGGAAGCATTGTAAATGAGGTTTCAACCTTTGTTGGGTATTATGAGAGTAGATCACCAGTGAAATACTGGGATAAAAAATGCTTTAAATATCTGTGAAATGAAAAACTATCAATCAAGTTGGGTGTAATGCATGCAGAGTGAAGATGAATCAGAACAGGAACTGGAAAAGCAACTGTTGTGACAAATCCTAGGATCCTGAAAAGTGAGGTTATAACCAATTGCATATATAGGATTTTGGTGCAGATAATTTGAGCCTAATCCTGTGTAGATGATAAAGCATTTCTTTAATTTTGTATATTGATGAAAACAAGTTAAAATGGTAAAAATGTGGAAGTCTGCTATGGAAAATACTTTGTGTTCTGTCCTGTATTTGCAGTTTTACCATCAAGACATCTTCAGTAATCTCTGCTCATCCCACGGTGAATATTTCAAGTGCCATAATTTGAATGCTAAACTTTTCATGTGATCTAGGTTATGAGCAAAGATGATGGGAAGTCCCGTGGTTTTGGTTTTGTTGCATTTGAAGAACCAGAAGATGCTGAAAGGGCCGTAGACGAGCTTAATGGCAAAGAACTAATTGAAGGCAAGGTATGGAAATGTATTGAGTACAGCTAACTCACTGGATCCGAGCTCTTTTTGAAAATATATTAAACCCTCATTATAATGGACCCACATGTAACGGACAAAATCTGGGTTTGAACAGATGTGAAGTTTTAGAAATGTTGAGGCATTGAGGAAGGTTTTGAAGTTAGAAAACTATTTAAAATAAAAAGGAACCCCAATAAAATATCTTTATGCAGTCACATTTTGTGTTTCTGTTTTCATTGCATGTATTGGCTATGTATCCTGTGGTGTAGTTCTGTGAATTACCCTTCACTCAGTTAACACTTTGCGGATGGTGCACCCTTTAAAAGGTTTTTCGCTTTTAACCCTTTGACGTGGTCATTTAAATTCCGCGGCCGCGGCTCCTGCGGTAATATATTCAGCCGGCCATTTAAATTTTGCTCGAAA